TTAGTTTGGTTACGACCATTATGATGCTAGGATTAGGGACGCTTTGTTGGATCACCGTTCTGTTGTTTCCTGGTCCTTTTGTGCTAGCTAACTTGGATAAAATGTCAGCCCATGAGTTTTGCTCTCTGGGGATGTGCTCTACTTTAAAGCTTTGAAACTCTGTCAGTAGTAATCTTACTTTTTCCAAATATTTTATCATTAATGCCTCTTTGGCTTGGTAGCTTCCTTGAACTTGAGCAATTACTAATTGTGAATCGCTCTGAGGGTTATGTTTATTGCCCCCAAGTCTTTGGCCATGGCGAGTCCTGCGAGGACTGCTTCGTACTCAGCTTGGTTGTTTGAAGCTTTGAATCCAAAATGGATAGAGTGTTCCACTGTAATACCTTGAGGGCTTTCCACTATTACTCCTGCACCACTCCCCTTGATATTGGAAGATCCGTCGACTTAAATGACCCAATCGACACTGTCCTCTGCCTCATGTAAGTGTGTCATTTCAACCAGGAAGTCTGCTAGTACCTGGGCTTTAATTGCCTGTCGTGGTTCATAGATGATGTCGTATTCTGACAACTCTAGACCATGAGATCATACGGCCTGCTAAATCAGGTTGTCTAAGTACTTGTCGAAGGGGTTGATTCGTTCTAACTCTGATAGTGTGCCCTTGGAAATAATGGCCCAGGTGTCGCGATGTTAAGATCAGCGCGAAAGTGACCTTTTCAATTTGTTTATAGCGCAGTTCTGGTCCTTGGAGTGCTTTGCTGACGAAGTATATGGGCTGTTGTTCCTGGACTTCTTCGCGCAGGAGGACCGCACTTATAGCCTCATTACTAACTGAGAGGTACAGAACCAGGGGTTCATTGGGTGGAGGCTTAACCAAGACTGGTGGGTTAGCCAAATGTTCTTTGATGGCCAAGAACCCTACCTCGCACTCCGGAGTCCAGTTGAAGTCTGTCTGTTTGCGTAATAGTTTGAACATTGGCAATGATTTTTGAGCTGACGCAGGGAGGAATCTGGTTAGAGCAGTGATTTCCTGTCAATTGTTGTAGTTCCTTTACGTTTCGCGGGCTGGTCATGCTGAGAATGGCGTTGCATTTGTCAGGGTTGGCCTCTATCCCGCGATGTGTGAGCATGAATCCTAAGAATTTTCCAGCAGGTACTCCAAACGCGCATTTGGCTGGATTAAGCCGTAGCCTGTATTTGCGCAGTTGTTGAAATACATGTTCCAAATCTCGAGGATGGTGTGAAGTAGTCATTGTTTTGACTATCATATCATCAATGTAAACTTCAAGCATCTGCTCAATCTGCTGACTGAAAACTTTGTTCATCATGCGTTGATAGTGGCTCCAGCATTTTTGAGAGCAAATGGCATCATATTATAGCAGTAGGTAGCTTTTTCAGTGATAAAAGTTGTGGCTTCCTCATCTGGTGTGAACATTGGAATCTGGTTGTAGCCTGAATACGCGTCCATAAAGGATATGATTTGGTATCCTGCAGAATTATCGACCATCTTGTCGATGGTGGGAAGTGGATAAAAATTCTTTGGGCAATGTTTATTGAGATATGTGTAATCAGTACAAATGCACCATTTTCCATTGGGTTTCTTGACTAATACAACATTGGAGAGCCAAGTAGAGTACGTGATTTCTCTGATTACTCCTGCATCAAGCAATTTTGCTACTTCAGTTTCAACCGCCTGTTGTTTCTCTGGGGAGATTTTGCGCTTTTTCTGTGCGATGGGTTTTGCTTTGGGGTCCAGGGTTAAATGGTGACATATTATCCCTGGGTCTATCCCTGGCATGTCGGCGGCTGTCCACGCAAAAAGGTCTTTGTTATTTTGCAATATTGTTATTAGCGCGCTTTTCTTAGCTTCTGGGAGGTTTTGTCCAATTTTGGTGGTGTTTTCAGGGAGTGGGCCTATTTGGAAGTCTTCCACTCCCCATCAGGTTGAGGACAAGTATCACACAGATCTTCGCACATGTCAAGATCGGTCATATTCACTGATGCTTTGCCTTTGTCATCAGGCTGCACAAGAGTTTTGGCTCTTAAACTGGTGTTTTAACAGTTGCACACTGTTTTCTGATCACCTCTGATGGCAACTACCGTGCCAGACTTGTTACGAAATTTCATCAAAAGATGAGTCATAGAAATGATTGCCTTTAATGCGGCAATAGTTGGTCTTCCTAAAATGATGTTATATACTGATGCGTATTCAATGACATAAAATTTTACTTTGATAGTTTGAGCAAGAGGCATGTTTCCAAAAGTGACCCACATTTCAATGGTGCCTTTGGGCTGTACGCACTCTCCGACGAAGCCAATTAAGTCCGAACATCCATGAAGAAGATGTTCCTCTGGGATGTGCATCGCGCAAAAGGCATCCCAGAATATAATATCAGCTGAACTACCATTGTCAATCATAATACGTTTTACCTGGAGGTTAGCCATGCACGCTGAGATCACTAGTGGGTCATCATGGTCTGGTATGATGTCGCCATAGTCATCATCGTCAGAACTTATGGCTTGTCTTTGATCGCGAGAGGTGGATGGGCGTGCGTGATCGCGCATCGTCATGACTGATTTCAGATGCTTTTTTCGTTGAGATTTGGTCGCTCCTCCTCCCGCTGATCCGCCGGCAATAGTGGCTAAAACACCTGCCGCGTTGTTAGGTAGTCTATCGCGGTGTTGCCCCGCGACTTGCCGTCTGTTTCTTGGTGGAGTTCTGTGACGTCTGTCAGTTGAAGTTGCTCTGTCCTCTCTTCGGTCATTGTTGCGAGTAGGGTTATAGTTTTTCCTAGGGCGTGCCCTTTGTTTATTGGGATTGGAGTCGTGATCAAGGCTTCTATCGCGCCTTCGCTGCGTCTTATATTCCCTGCAGCTGGAAATAAATTCCTGGAGCTTTCCTTTTCTTATGAGTGCCTCAATGGTATTTCTGAGCTCGAGACATTCGTCGGTGGTGTGACCTTTGTCGTTGTGGAATACGCAAAATTTGGATTCATCGCGCTGAACTCCTTTTGGCATTGGAGGAGGTCTATTAACCCGGACATACCCTGTTTGGAATACTTCCTTAAAAATCCGCTTGGGAGATGTGTTCAAGGGGGTGTATTTGTCGTATTTTCTCCACATTCTCTTTTCGTGAAATTTGCGTTGAAAATTCTTCTGGACATCTCTTTCGAAGTTGTCTGTGTTGGCCCTGGTGTTGGAGATTTCTCGTGATCACTTATAATCTTCCAGGTTGATGAATTTCTCTGAACACGCACGCAGTTCCTCTATTGTGCGAGGTCGCTGTTTGGCCAGCGACATAGAAAAAGGGCCTTCCACAAGTCCTTCAGTGATGATGTGTAGTGAGACTTGTGGATCTAAATCTCTGACCAAAAGAGCTTCATCAAATAATCTGTTTAGATAATCGCGCAGAGTTTCATTTAATTCCTGTCGATCCGTTTTTAGTGCGTGAGTGGATTTGTATTGTGCTTTACTCGTTGCGAACCGCACGAGAAACTGGTTGGTTAAGTCTTCCCAACTTTGTATCAAATTAGGTGGTAGTGTTGAGTACCATCTAAGGGTTGTCTCCTTGAGAGTTGTAGGAAACAGTCGGCAAGCTATTGGATCCGCGACATCTTGTGCCATCATGTTTGTCTGGAATTTTTCCAGATGCTCTTGAGGGTCCCCCTTGCTGTTATATTTTTCTGCTGTAATCTTGACATCCCGAGGAATTGGGATGTTCATTATGCAGGGGACGAAGGGGTGAATAATTTGAGAAAAGGTCCTTGAGTTACCATGAGAATTCTCGTTCTCATGAGTATCTTTGATTTCTTCACCTTTCTTATTTTTGTGACCCGAAGGTCCTGGATTCCCAGTAGAGTGCGAATGAGGTGGATCACTCTCCTCAGAATTTTCGGGAGCTGTTTCTTTCTCAAGATTTTTTTCTTTTTCTTTTCCCTTTTCTTGGGTTTTTTCTTTGCTCTTTTGAGCTTTTTTCAATCGAGCCAAATCTCGATTCTGCTGGGCGATTTTCTTGTTCTGTAGTGTGATGAGGTCCAACAGATGTTGGGGTGTCGGTGGATCATCCAAGTGGATGGGAATTGGTGCCACCGATGAAGCTGATTTTTCAAGGGAAGCAGGGGTCTCCTTCCGCTTTCCTTTGGAGCCATTCTGGGATTTGCTACGAGTGTCAACCATGTTTTTAGAGAAAGGTGGGTAAAAAGTTCCCCACAGACGGCGTCAATGATCGGACCAAATACGGTATGGATAACCCAATACGTATTAAGCCCAAATCACACACGGTTGAGACTCCTTCGGTAGTTTCTGGTCTGGGCCTGGTATTGCAGTTGGGGTGAGCCTGAGCTCTTTGTCCTTCGTCCTTCACGTTGCACCTAATGGGGGGTACCTGCGAAGACACTCCGATGCTTAAGTCAGTATCAGAGACAGGTGTTTATGTTAAGAAAGTAAAGGATGATCGTACCTTGGTGATATATCGTGTGTTTATATAGTAGTTGAGATGTGTGCTTGGAGGATGCCTTTCTTCATGGTGGAGGAAAAGGTTCCTTGGTGCTAACGTAGTGTGGCTGTCATGGTTTAAATGTTGAGGAGCTTGCCGCCACAGTGTCTAGTAGTAGAGTTATGGCGAGCTGGAGCTGTCCGTTGCTTACTGGTGTGAGGGCGCGGTGGTGTTGCCTTGGCCCTTAAGTTTACTGTCTGTAGAAGGTATCCTGTTGCGAGGTGAGTAAGTACGTCTTGCGTGCCGCGATAAGGTCATCGCGCCTTGTATGACGCGATATAGTCATCGCATGTCCGTACCTGTCCTTTGTGCCTCGTTCTGGGTCCTTAATGGATTTGGGCTTCCATGTGTTATTGGGCCCTGATTGAGCCTATATTCTATCCGGATCAGTTATTTTAGCTTTTAAGCGAAATTTCTAACTGTGTTCGAATTTTTTTTATTAGTGTGTTTTGTCTAAAATAAAAATGGGGGATACTTGTCCTTTCCTTTTTTTCTTCTTTAGTTGTGTTTTTTTTTTTTAATAACCATTCTTCTTCAGTTGTGTTTTACCTTTGAAAATAATTGCTATGTTTATTACAGTACCTTTACTAAATTTTTTTTTCTAAAATTATTATTATAGAAGTATATAAATTATTGATGGACCTGTACTTAACAACTTAACTTTTTAGGTTGAATTATATAGTATCAGAGCTTCAGTGTCATGGGTTTGATCATCACGCCCCTCACTTTCACTTATGGATTTTCTTAGCACAGGAAGGTGGGTATATATATTATCTATCCTTCGAGTCCAATGGACTCTCGTATGAGAAAGATGTTAGAGAAGTATATAAACTATATGTTCGCTTTTTCTGTAGTTACTGCAGATAACTTATCTGCAGTAAATACGACGTCGTTTTCGGACGGAAATCATGATGTTTTGTAATTTTAATTCATTTCAGGGTTATAATAGTCTTTATATTTATTTTTTAAGATTTTAATACCAAAACGATCTCGTTTTGGGAATAAATGCAGATAACTTATATGTATTACCTGCAGAAATATTTTTTCCATAAACTATTGATGAGCCTATACTTAACAACTTAATCTTTTGAGTTAAATTGCTTCTTTACTATTATCGGTAAAGGGTTCGCTTTTTCTGCAGTAATTGCAGATAAGTTATCTGCACTAAGCCCAATACGACGTCGTTTTGGGCAGAAATTATAGTGTTTTTGTAATTTTCTAATGTTGTAGACACATCTTATGTAAGACCCATATCTATTAAAAAAAAAATATTGCACAAAAATCGAAGGGTCACTAGTAGAAGAAAATAACTCTCCTACGAATGAGAAAATGTTTTCCCATATATATATATATATATATATATATATATATATATATATATATATATATATATATATATATATATGATCGTAAAAGTATTTAAAATTATGAAAAGATATGCAAAATTAATTAAAAGAATTGAAATTTAAACTTAAAAAAAGTCAAGAATGAGATGTATGATATAGGGTGGATATATGGGTTGAGCCCGGCGGGTCAACCCGTTAACCCGCCAAAACGGGGCGGGTTGGGTTGAGATTTTCAACCCACCAACTCACTTCAACCCGCCCCGCCTAGAAGTAGGTCAAAACGGGTTCGACCCGCCGCGGGGCGAGTTGACCCGCCGGATTATAATTTTTTTTTTTTTACAATTAGGTAGTATTTCATTAGTCCTTAAAATTTTTGTGATATCTAATTTTTTTTTATCTTAGTACTTCCTAAAAAAAATAAAGAATAACACTTTTATTTATAACAAATGTTATATATATATAAGTTCCTAAAGAATATTTGACAAATATTAGTATGCATTTAAGATTGAGACTAAAAAAATATAGAGAAGTGTAAAATAAAATAAAATAATATTAGAAAAATTCATAAAATATAATTTATTTTTGAATTTTAATTATTTTTTTTAATTGGCGGGTTGGTGGGTTGATCCGCCAACCCACCATAAAACGGGGTGAGTTCATTTTTCCAACACATATTTTTTGGGGGGTCAACCCGCCCCGTCCTGTTTTTGGCAGGTTGGTGGCGGGGTGGGGCGGGTCAACCCAAATTATCACCCCTAGAGTAGATGTATCATTTTTTTAAGAAGCAATACATTAAAAAATTTAAATAGTAAAAAAATAAATTCTAGTTTCATAGATAAATACAGATTTTTCTGGGCAATGTTTATTATTCCTTCTTTTAATTAGAATCATCTTCGATGAAATCCAAGAGGCCGGATTTACTTTATTCTTTGTCTTGTACGTTTCTATTGTTTCTATATTTGTGTTTTATATTACTCTTTCGTCCATGAATTTGATATAAATTTTTTTGAAAAGAAAGCGTGGTTTAAGCAATACTTCAGGTCTTGATTCTTGTCAAAATACTGTAACATATTTTAGGATGATCAACTTGCAATAAAAAAAAAGTTGGATTTCTACAACTAATTGTATATGGCGAGAGAAGAAAAAAAGTTCACACCTTTCCTTTATAAAAAAGGTCACTCCAGCATTTTTATTTTTTTTCTAAAGTTTTGGGTGGTGAAATTTTCTGATCTGATCACATTAAAATATATCTTTAACAAAAACTATATATCCTTAACAAAAAATTACAATATACTTTGAAATCATCTGATTAAATTTATTATTTTTAAACTGTTGGCAAGAAAATGTGCAAAACTTGTGGTATTGTTTATAAAAGAACAATTAGATATACCTTGGTGATGCAAATATTTCATAAATTGCACGAATATTTTAAATACTAATAAAATATATAAATATAATTAAAAAATATTAATCTAATTAGTAGAATAATATTTTACTGGTAATAAAAATAGTAAATACAAAAAATAATGGCACTTAAAAATTTTAGTTTTAAAATGTTTTTAATTCATAAAAAATTCATTTACTGGTAATTTGTAAATATATCATTATGTTCAATGTTGATTAAATAAATTAAGGAAATGAAAAATCCTCTTTGATTGAATTTCTAAAAAGGCCATATGTTTACAAAATAAAGAAGACACCTGGGTGTGTGACGAGGCGAGTACATATAAATATAATTTCACTCTTAGTATAGTAATGGGGAGTCCAATTTATTGTATAAAGATTAATTATATTCATAATAATAGTATTCTATTTCCAATTGTAATATATTTTGTTAAAATAATTATTTTAATTTATTTTGACTTGAAAATTTATAAATATTATTTTTAAATTTTAAATTTTAAAATTTAATTTAAATATTTTAAATAAATAATACATATTTTATAATATTTAAAATTTATTTAGTTTAATTTATACTCCTTGAATTTTATTTAAATTAATTATTTATATTTATATTGAATTTAATTTTTTTTAAAATTTTAATTTTAATTTTTTTTTGGTAATCATTAAAATTTTAATTTTAATATTTACTCAATACGCAAAATATGTGGCAATAATAATAATAATCTTCTGACTCTCGCTTGGCCAGTTTCTAGGCTCTCGTAATTATTGTCAGATTTAAGGTTGTTCACTTGTTCTGCAATCCCCAGGGACAAAACCACAACTTGCTATCCTCTTATGTAAAATCTTTAATAATAGGCAAATCTATTTTAAGATTAATC